CTCTGTGAGAGGGAGTAAAGTATTATGCATCTGAAAGTATCAAAGATTCATATATGCTGGGATGGGGTTCATTCATGTTTCGGGTAGGGATTAATGAGGTTCATTCATTGCAGCACTTGGTTTTCTGGGATGGGGTTCATTCATTTTTCGGTAGGGAATAATGGGGTTCATTCATGGCAGCACTTGGTTTTCTAGGATGGGGTTCATTCATGGCAGATTCCTTGGATGGGGTTCATTCATGACAGCACCTGTTTTTGGATATATGTTGTTGGTTTTTTTTATGTTTCGGGTAAGGAGTAATGTATGAATTAAAGCATTGTATCTTCCTCTTTGGTGCTATAATAAAGTTGTTGGCCAACTTTGACATGGATGTAGGTCATATTGATCGAACCACGTTAAATTTTGTGTCATTTTTTTATTTTTATGCTTCCTTAAATTTTCTGTTTTTATTGAATATGATGCAACACCCATGAATGATTCTCATGTCTCAACTTCTAAATTATGCCATTGTTGTGTTTCATTTATTTGCTTTATCGTAGTTTTAACATGGCTGGTAAGGCTAAAGAACATGGTTCACCAGCACTCTAGAAAAAAGAAATCAAAATGTTGTTTTGCAACCTTTGTATAAAAGAAATAGAACTGGGCAATAGACCAACAATGTTTTTCAATAAAGAAGGTTGGTTGAATATCATTAAAAAATTTAAAGACTCTACGGGACGGGAGTACGACAAGCTACAAATGAAAAACAAATGGGATCAAATGAAAAAAGATTGGAAAATTTGGAAGGATTTAAAACGTGGTTCAACTGGTTTGGGTTGGGATCCGATAAAGCGTACCATAGATGCCTCAGAGGATTGGTGGCCAGAAAGGCTCGCGGTTAGTAATTGTAATTGTTGATAATTTTAAAAATATATTTCTATTTCAATCTGTAGAACTGATTTGGGTTTTTTCTCCAGGTGGTGCCTGCAACGAAAAAGTATAAAACTTGTGGGATTGAACCCGATTTGGAGGAGAAGTTAGACCTGATGTTTGGGGGTGTCGTCGCCACAGGAAAATATGCATGCACTCCAAGCGAGGTAGGCTTTAGTGAAACACAAGACAATGTTCCTGTCAACTTATCAGATGATTCATCTGATTTCCCAAGTCCAGGTCCAACTGAGATTCAATCCACGAACCGCTCGAAGCGATCTAGGCTCGAGGGTAAAAAAAAAGGTGGAGCTGTCAGAAACCAAATATCGTGCCTTATGGATTCTTTCAACGATGCCCCACATAAAGTGCTAAAAACGTCAATTAATGAGGTTGGGGATATTTTAGAGCAGGATTTTTTAGAGCAAGATCCGAGTATTGCAACGGATGATGAGCTTTACTACTTTGCTGTTGAGCTGCTTCAAGATTCGGTGCAGAGAGATTTTTTCACAGCAATTGACAAGGACCGATAAGTGCAGAAAACGTCAATTAACGAGGTTGTGGCAATTTTAGAGCAAGATCCGAGTATTGCAACGGATGATGAGCTTTACTACTTTGCTGTTGAGCTGCTTCAAGATTCGGTGCAGAGAGATTTTTTCACAGCAATTGACAAAGACTGAAGGGTGTCGTATCTACGACATTTTTATGAGCGCAGGAAAATCTGAATGGAGTTTTTTAGTATTTACTATGTGCTTATCTGAACAGTTTATGAGAAGACCTGGTTATTTGAACTGTTGTTGATTGAGACCTTTCATTTTAATTTGTTTTTTTAGATATAACTATCTTTATGAAAACTGCGAAAATCTAATCTGCTGGTAAAAATTCCTTAGAAGTCCATTACTCTGGTCTACACTGAATGCTCGTGTTATTACTTGTCACAGGTTAAATAATAGACTTCTTTTCATAGTGATGATTAGCTTAATAATTTAGTTTTCTTTGTCAAAATGTGTCCAATATACATCATTATGGACCCAAACCAAATACGTCGTAGAAGGAGAAACACAGCTATCAACTTGCTTGTAGAGTACTACAACACATATATCAACCGTTCTCCCTGTTACACATCATCACATTTTGGAGACAAATGGGTTGCAGAAATGCTTGTCGGGCATCCCACAAGATTTCACAACATGTTCCGCATGACACAGGATGTTTTTACAGATCTTTTAGCAGAACTCATTGGATCTCATGGCCTCAATGGGTCTATGAGGATGACTGACCGTGAGGTCTTGGCGATTACTCTTTATATATTTTCACAGAACGAGTCAATGCGTGGTGCGATGGAATGCTTCCAACACTCATCAGAGACGATTAGAAGGTACTTCTCAGTGGGTTTGAGTGCTTTGGTGAGCCTCGCCAAACAAGTCATAAAGCCAACTGACCCAACGTTTTCACAAACTCCTGCGGAGATTCGCCACGATCGACGCTATATGTCATTCTTTAAGGTACATATTTAATCTTATTTTACTGAAATTTAAGATGAAAGCATGACAGTAATTAATGAATTAGTAACGACACATGTTTAGGATTGCATCAGTACGATAGATGGAACACACGTTGATGCACGAGTTTCAAGTAATGAGAAAGTTGCATTTATAGGACGTAGTGGAACCCCAACGCAAAATGTCAGGGCAGTTTGCAACTTTAATATGTTTTTCACATTTATCATGTCTGGTTGGGAGGGTAGTGCGCATGACAGCAGGATTTTCAAGAGTGCAACACGGAATCCGCATTATAGCTTTCCCCATCCTCCGCAAGGTATGTTGCATCACGAAATCTTTATTGTATTTTTTTTAATGTGAAAATGAAGGTTCAACACCTTACAGGAAAGTATTATTTGGTGGATGTCGGTTATCCGTTGCAGCGAGGGTATCTCAAACCCTATCCTGATACTAATATCATATACATGATTTCGAACGAGCAAGTAATGTTACAAGAAGCGGAAAAGAGGTGTTCAATAAAAGCATTCCTTTTGCGAGGCGCCATCGAGAGGACATTTGGTGTCTGGAAGAAGCAATGGGTGATATTACGTGATATGCCTCCTTACCCGTTTTCAAAACAGGTACAGATTGTGATAGCGACAATGACAATACACAATTATATTAGGCGGCACCCGTCTCGATATGACGTTGACTTCCTCAATGCTGAAGCAAATCAACAGGAAGTAGTTCAAGACCCATCTGAAAACCAAATTGTTAGTCTATGTTACGAGATAACAGCGAACAATCAACCATTTGTACTAAGGAATGGGAAGGTGCAAATGAAATGGTTGTCATTTGAGAACAGATTACTAATGCGTTGGTTAATATGTGATTGATTTGTAATTTGTTAGAAAGACAAAATAATTGTAACTTATGGGTGTTTGGTGATAGAAGTTACTTTATGTGCCCTGGTGATGTAATAAATTATTTTACTAAGGATTAAAACTATTTATAAATGGTTATGGAAGATTATTTTACGGATCTAACACATAATAGTATATTTGCGGATAATTAGCAATTTGGAGCATTTATTTGCAATTAGCAATTTGGAGCATTTATTTGCAATTAGCAATTTGGAGCATTTATTTGCAATTAGCAATTTGGAGCATTTATTTGCATTTAGCTCGAAGCTGATTTGATTACAAATTTCTTAAAGATGAAATACCCTTGAGCTGTAGGTTTCAATTAGTGCATTTGTGTTGATGTATGTGAAAAATAGCGTAGCATACGTCTTATGCATTTACATATTTAACACAAACTTTCATATTTATATTAATAATATTTTGATGTGATAAAATTATATAAGAGAGGTTGTATTTTATTTTAAAAAATAAGAGTAGTATTTCTTATATGATGTTAAAATTTTGAGTGTTATATATGTAAATATAAAAGGTTAGGTGTCTAATATGTTAACACAAGAAATATGTGGTATGTATGTAAATGCCCTTGGTTAATATCAACTTTTGAAGAATTCAGAAGAAAAAATTTAACATCAGGTGAAGTCCTTAAAATCGGCCATAAATTGCTTGAAATTCAAAATCAACTTAAATAGATTTAGAATCCATTTTGATTTGCTCTTATTTCGCTTAAATGCATCTGCTTGCCTACAGCTGCTTCCTGGGGCAGCGTAGCTGCAGCTGAAAAGCTGAGAATCTGCAGCTGCGCGGCAGCTGCAGCTTATCCAGCTTCTGCTGATAAGCAGCTGATCATGAAAATTTGCTGATGAGCAGCTAATCCGAATAAGTTGACTGGCTGTTTGGTTTGTGTGTTTAGAAAACAGCTGATTTGCAGCTGTTTCTGGATAAATGACAATTTTACCCCTGAACTGAATAAATTGTTATGATGTTTGGTTTATGTGGTTTGAGAACAACTGATTTTCAGCTTATTGTGAAAAATGATCATTTTGTCACGTACAGTGGAGTTGTTCGCAACCAAAAAACACTACAATAACAGTTGAAAGAAAAAAAAAAGATATACTCCCCGCTCAAGAGAGTCCATCTACAAATCTATTAAGAGTAAAGCTACACATCTACAATTCTTAAAGCTAGTGAGAATATGTATTCAATGTACCATAGGAAGAGCAGGAAAATCAATTACATTAACTATAAGTAATTAAAGTCAAAAAAATTATTAAACAAGTCATATTAACAAAATGGAGTGTTATATATGCAGGAAGTGAGCACCTAGACTATTATTGCTCCGACTTGCAGTCAGATGGAGAGAATTTTCAGATGGAGAGAATTTGAAAAAAAAAAACTCAAAAATTATGGGAAATTTACGTATGTAGCACACAATTCATAAGTTGTAGCACACAATTTATGTAGCACACAATTCATAAGTATTTACATATCTCACACCTAAACTTCTATATTTACAAACATAGCATTTCGGCCAAATGGGGGAGTAGGGAGAAGCGGTTAGGACAGACGAGCAAAGGAATGTTGTATATGTTGGAAATCAAGAATGAGAAGAAGAAGAAAGGAGGAAGTTGAAATGGGGAAGATTACATGAATGTTCTTTAGTCCAAAGAAATGGAGAGGTGCTTGCCGGGTAGAGAGGGATCCGTCCAAATGGAGTAGGGAGAAGCGGCTAGGGTAGAAGAGCAAACTGGAGCGAAAGATGGAGCTCGGCGCAGCCAGGGCAGGACGCGAATTAAAGCGGAAGGGGGAGCTCGACGCAGCTAGGGCAGACGTGATCAAAGGGGGCAGGACGCGGGAATGTTTCGAAGGGCCAATAGGTAAAATTTCATTCACAAAACGCGGACCGCAGGAGTCATCCCGCGGTCCGCGTCATTCACAAATTTTAAGACACAATTTTGAATAATCTGTCAATAAGCGCTAACCAAACGGGACGTTGACGTTTTCAAAACGCCGCCCGCACTTTTAAGCTGCTCCAAACGGGTCCTAAATGCTTAATGCTCGAAGTTATGTATAAATCTCTCACCTTTTTTCAACCATTTTTCAAATTATAACTCCAATATTCATGATAAAATTATATCTCCAATATTCATGATAAAATTCCAACACATAATTTTCACTTTTACCAATTTATTAATGGTTTGATTGTGTGACACATGTAAATATAAGAATTTGACTGTTTAAGACAATCTCTTAGGCGTTAGCAATATTTTAAGTGTAATATCCCTTTTAAAAAGTATAATTATTTAATAAATATTTTAAGTATTTTAACTTTTTATTTAAAAATAAATAAATTTTATTTTTAAAATCATTCAAGAAAATTTGAAGATTTTTTAAAATAACTTGATTTATTGTTTAATTGACGAGATAAGTTTTAGTTTTAATTAAAATAGAAAAAAATAAAGAGAAAGAAATAATCACAGATGTCCCATAAATTTTGCTCGAAGAAGCCGCTGAAGCAGCACTGGCCAAAGGGCTTTAAAGCCTGCCTGAAATGATGCATGTCCTACAGATGATAGTGATATATGCTTTCAGATTCCACCGTACCTGTTAAAATCGAATGAAGTCAAGATTGCCAACAATGTAATATATTCCGACTGGGGAGCAGGCCTAAAGTGCCAAATTGTGGCAAGCAATTAGCTGGTTATGTAGTTATTAATGTAATCTTTTTAAAATAACGATAACTTTATATTTAATCATATCATATGTATGATATATTCTGCACAATTAAAATAACAAGCTTTAATCAATCATCTTTTTTCACATGAAATTTTACATTTTGCTCAGTGAAGTTGTTTTTTTATTTTCAGGTTGGCTAAATATTAGAAAGATCCAGTTTGATTCATTTTTTTTTTTTTGTTTCTAATTGAAATAACTTATTTGATTATGTAATTAAGGGGCCGTTTGGCGCAGTTTATATGCTGCGTCCGGCGATTTCGTAATGCCGTGATCCTGTTTGTTTTACGCGTTCGTTGGGCAGCTGACTACCGCACGTAAAATTTTTCACTATTCCTCCCTGAATCTTTTGCCGCTCCGAGAGGCCTGCGTTCCGCGTTCAGGGTGAGCTTATTACCCTTCAGCCCTTCGATCTCGTCTCCTTTGTCCCTCGATCATGATCCTCTGTTGTTGCCCAAACTGTGCGATCAAGCTTTCCCGTCTCCTCTGTTCCTCGATCCTCAAGCTTTCCCGTCTCCTCTGTTGCTCGATCCCGCTCCTCTGTAGTTCGTGGATTGTGAGATATACTCATCCAAGTTCTATGATTCATAATTTTAGGGTTCCTGTCTCCAGTAAAGAAATGATTCGAAATTTTTTTCCGAGTTCTATGATTAGAATGTTTTTTTTCTTTCATGCGATCAAGTTTCACAGAGAAAATGTTTTCTTATGTTTTTTATAGAGGAAACCTAGAAAAATTATTGAAGGGGGAGCTTGATTACATTGCAGATATTTCATGGAGAAATTGATTTTTTATGTTTTTTTATGAAGAATTTTCATGCATATATACAGAGAAATTGCTTTTTCTGTAAAATTACAAAGCGGATTTTTTTTTTCCTTTCATGTTTTTTATACTCTAGATTTGGATTCATATGATCAATAGACTTGAGTGGTAGGCATGTAAATCTTCCTTATTGCTATTCATTATCGGAGCTTAGATGGTTATAGTGGCAATGATTATATTGGAAATGTGGAAATGCATTGGAGCTGCAGTTTGATCTTTATGGGGCATTATGACATTGTTTTTGGAAATGTGGAAATGCATTGGAGCTGCAGTTTGATCTTTATGGGGCATTATGACATTGTTTCAAGAAATGTGGAAATGCATTGGAGCTGCAGTAATGATATAGGCTCTTTCAACAAATAGCTTTGGATCAAATATCAATAAGATATGTTTTTTTTGCGTGGAAATGCCAATGAATAGGAATCAAAATATTGATTGATACAGTGGCCGTAGCTTCAGAGTGATTGTAAGAAAAAGAAAGGATCATAAAAAAAGATGATCCATAACATCTTTGAGTGCCTCTCATAAGTCAATCTTGATCTTTCTCACCATAAGAGGAATTTACCATGTCCATCATGAACATTGCCGAGCTCCGAGTTTTATTGTTTGATCCCATCTTAAGATAGAGGAGGTTGTGTTCAATAGGAGATCAGTTTTATGAGACTCCTCTTCCTCGTAGATTTATTAAAAATATAGTTCACTAACCTAAGATTTTATCACTCATTTCTTACAATGGAGGATCCGATCCTACAAACCATGTTACCTATTTTGAGTTTATATATTCTTTTCTTACTATCGCTGATGTGGTTAGTTTAATTGGTGCATTCTTTTGCCATGTGCAAGGAGGTGTCGGTATGGTGGCTTCTTACGTTCCTTTGGAAAGAATTACTTCCATCTTTAATTTCAAATGGTAATTCGTAATTGTGTTCACCAGCATCCAGAATTCATTAACATAATTACAAGCTTTTCATAACATAGGACAAGAGTTAAAAGAATTACTCTTTTCCTACTTATTTTTAGAGATAAATGTTGTATGTCCAATCTCTTAAGCTGACTCTTGCTTAAGAAGCACTCACTTAGGCCCTTTTTGAGGATCATTTTCATTAAGCTCTCATCATAAAACAATAAATAATCATTGTCAAGATAATAGAGTTGGCTAGTTATCATATTAATGTCAATTGCTACAACAACATAGCTTCATTAAGACCTATAAATCATATCCCGACAACAAGAGAAATGAACAAAGAATATAGAACCTAATTTCTACTCATAAAATAAATATTAACATCAAAGAAATATAAGAATTAAAGTGAGAAATCCAAAGTATGTTTTATTCTATTTCATAAAAAAAAATTAATTATTTATTCAACTAAAGGTATAACAGATAATTAATTAGAAAAAATGTAGTGATAGATAAATCAAC